AATATACTTATCTGCATACAATCAAGCAACTCACTTTACAGTATATCGCTTTGAGGCGTCTCGAAGACGTGATAAGCCGCTATATCAAATGCATGGATTATTATACATACATGCATACAAGAGTGAGGCTTGTACGCACATACAAACGATGAGCAATGGGTGTTAACTGATTGGAGTCTTAACAGTTATCCCAACACACACTCTGGGGTCTACAAGCCTTGGCTCCGTATTCAACCCTGAACTGTACTTCATCCCCCACATCCATGCCACGACCCACTCCGCAACATTACCTGGCTCCGCCACTGTCTCTCACTGCTGGCTGCCAAGACCTCATCCGCTCATTCATCACATCCAGGCTTGACTATGCAAACTCCCTGCTTGTCGGCCTACCCAACTCCTCCCTCCACAGGCTGCAGATCATCCAGAACTCTGCAGCCCATGTCCTCTCCCCCACTAGGGTCCCTGACCCTATCACCCCCATCCTCACACAGATCCCCTAGCTCCCTATCACTCAGAGGATTCAGTTCAAGATCCTGGTCCTCATCTTCAGAGTCCTCCACGGCCTCGCTTCAGGGCACTGTACAAATGTAATTTGTTGAAGGTTCCACTTATTGAGAAACCTGAGTTTGCTTCTCTTTGATGTCAAAGTTTGGCGTGAAAGAATTCCCACTATCACAGCTACTTGCAACCGGCCCATTTAAACATTGCTGCATTTCACTGACTACAAGGCTCGCTTCTCTGACTAAATTATACTCTAAACTCTCCCCTGGTGATTACAGTGAATGGTGGAATGTTGCATTTGAGTGGTTAATCACTTCTGTTTAAATAACTTTATTACCGAGTTTCGACTGCAAGAGCTACAACTTTGAAATTCTCGATATTCCACAATAACCGCTATTCATTCAATGAAGCGGCCACGGCCGTGTAATTATCAGCCTTTAGAATCGCCTGTTATTGTGGAACATTAAGAATTTAGAACCTGCGGTTCCTGCCGTGGAAACTCGTGCAACACCATTATCATGTAATGCAGCACTAGTGCCATTCATTCATTAAAAACACAAAAAACCTCTTGTTACATTTTGACAACTCAATTTTGGGTCATGAGCCAGGGGTTGAGAAACCCCGGTCTGGAGGGTGACAGGAACGGCCTGTAGGCAGTGATGGCCCATATGGTGGCAGTGATGGTCTATGGCAACGAGGTCCGACTGGCGACCTGGGGGCTGCATCTGGACTGGTGGGTGACTTTACCCGGCCCAAGAACATTTCTAACTTCTGCTCCCTCCCTCTCTGATGAACGTCCTTCAATAACAGTGGCAGCAGCCAGCGGTTGGGAAGACGCAGCGCAGAGAGTGAAAATAATGCCGGCCGTTGCTGTAGTCTATCAGGAAGGCAATCGAGTCTCTTACCAACCGAGTCCTTAGCATCTCCCGCTCCTGCCACTGCAGATAGTGATTGCCACGTAGCTGATTGGGAAAGAGGGATTGAGAAGGGGGGTGTGGGGTGAAAGGGGCGTAGAAAGGGGGTGAGAGAGGGGTGGGAGTGAGAGAAGGCTATAGATTGACAGTAGGCAAAAGACTGTAGATGCTGAAAATCTGAAATTAAAACATGAGTAGTTGGTAACACTCAGCAGGTCAGGGAGCATCTTTGGAGAGAGGAAAATGAGTTAACGTTTCAGGTCAATGACCTGTTGCCAGAACTGGGAAATGTTGGAAGGGAGCAGTTTATAAGGACAAGCAGAAAAGAGGGCAAGGAAATAAAAAGGAAAAAATTAGGTGGACAGGTGATGATGAGATCAGAGGAGTTAATGGTGCAAGACAAAAGGCAATAGTGGGAGATTATAGAAAGAAAAGATATTTATTTACACCTTCTTTCTCTTATCATTATCACTCTCGCCAAATTCCTTTCCTAGACATTTCACTCTATTCCTACCTCACTCCGTTTACAGCTCTGTCGGGGTCTCTACTCGAGTTTTGCCTGCCTGCCTGTCTGTCTGTCTGTCTGTCTGTCTGTCTGTCTGTCTGTCTGCCTGTCTGCCTGCCTGCCTGTCTGTCTGTCTGCCTGCCTGTCTGTCTGTCTGTCTGTCTGTCTGCCTGCCTGTCTGCCTGTCTGTCTGTCTGTCTGCCTGCCTGTCTGTCTGCCTGCCTGCCTCTCTGTCTGCCTGCCTGTCTGTCTGTCTGCCTGTCTGTCTGCCTGTCTGTCTGTCTGTCTGCCTGCCTGTCTGCCTGCCTGCCTCTCTGTCTGCCTGCCTGTCTGCCTGCCTGTCTGTCTGCCTGTCTGCCTGCCTGCCTGTCTGCCTGCCTGCCTGCCTGCCTCTCTGTCTGTCTGCCTGTCTGTCTGCCTGTCTGTCTGTCTGTCTGCCTGTCTGCCTGCCTGTCTGCCTGCCTGTCTGTCTGTCTGTCTGTCTGTCTGCCTGCCTGCCTGCCTGCCTGTCTGTCTGCCCAGCGCCTTGGGACGTCCTCCCCACGTGAAAGGCGTTATACAAATGTAATTTTGTTGTTTTGAAAAATGGCGCGCGGAAATGACGTCATGCAGATTTTGGTCGTTGGTTCAGGCGCGAGATTTTCAAAATGGCGTTTACCCGAACCGATGCCCCCGACTGCCAACGCCGGTCCCACTGTCCGCTGGTATCGAATCGAGTTTCACGCTCCACTTCTATCTAAGCCGCTGGTTTTCGAAGTGTTTGCTGCTCCCGCTCGCGTCTATTGGGTGACAGTTGTTGGCTTTAAGGATGCGGGGGCGGCGCATGCGCCACCAGCGGTTGCCCTGGTGATGGGCTTCGTTCAGGACTGGATCCGCGGCCTCAAGATTCAGGCCCTGGGCCCCCGCTTCCCGACTCGGGGCCGCAAGAGAGGCGGCGGCAGGTGAGGGCTCGAGATACGGCAAGTGGGAAAGCCCCTGAGCATCGCCTCCCTCTGACTGCTGTGCCCAAACTAACCCACTTTAATCTTTTCGCTCAGGGTCGAGGCGGTTGCCGATGAGAGTGAGCAGCCGGTGAAAAGAGCGAGGCTCAGGTTGGGGCGAGGTAAGTGACTGCACAAGGTGGCCAGGCCGCCTCCCCGTCTCCCTGACTGCCTCGTGTAAGGTGGGAGGAGGAACCCAACAGTGAGGTATTCACATCTGCCGACAGACAGACAGAAGCAAGAACACCAGCAATGGTCTTCCTCTCAACCTGGGAACCCCCTCTATCCCTCCGTCTTTTTCTTCCACTCTTTCCTTCCCTCTTCTATTCTAACCCTCTCCCACTCACTCCTTTCCTTCATTCTCCCCTTGTGCCTCTCCACCTCCCACTCCCTTCGTCCCTCCCTCCCTCCTTCTGCTCCTCCCTCATTCTCCCCCCCCCACCCTCCCTCCCTCCTTCTCCCCCCCCCGCCCGCCCTCCTTCTCCCCACCACCCGCCCTCCTTCTCCCCCCCGCCCGCCCTCCTTCTCCCCCCCCGCCCGCCCTCCTTCTCCCCCCCGCCCGCCCTCCTTCTCCCCCCCCGCCCGCCCTCCTTCTCCCCCCCTGCCCGCCCTCCTTCTCCCCCCCCGCCCGCCCTCCTTCTCCCCCCCCTGCCCGCCGTCCTTCTCCCCGCCTACCCTCCTTCTCCCCCCCGCCCACCCTCCTTCTCCCCCCCGCCCACCCTCCTTCTCCCCCCCCCGCCCGCCCTCCTTCTCCCCCCTCCCCCGCCCTCCTTCTCTCCCCCCCCGCCCGCCCTCCTTCTCTCCCCCCCCCGCCCGCCCTCCTTCTCTCCCCCCCCGCCCTCCTTCTCTCCCCCCCCCCGCCCGCCCTCCTTCTCCCCCCCCGCCCGCCCTCCTTCTCCCCCCCCCCCCCGCCCTCCTTCTCTCCCCCCCCCGCCCGCCCTCCTTCTCTCCCCCCCCCGCCGCCCTCCTTCTCTCCCCCCCCCCGCCCGCCCTCCTTCTCTCCCCCCCCCGCCCGCCCTCCTTCTCTCCCCCCCCCCGCCCTCCTTCTCTCCCCCCGCCCACCCTCCTTCTCCCCCCCGCCCACCCTCCTTCTCCCCCCCGCCCGCCCTCCTTCTCCCCCCCCCCGCCCTCCTTCTCTCCCCCCCCGCCCGCCCTCCTTCTCTCCCCCCCCCGCCCGCCCTCCTTCTCTCCCCCCCCGCCCGCCCTCCTCTCTCCCCCCCCGCCCGCCCTCCTTCTCCCCCCCCCCCGCCCGCCTCCTTCTCCCCCCCCCCCGCCCTCCTTCTCCCCCCCCCCCCCCCTTCTCCCCCCCCCGCCGCCTCCTTCTCTCCCCCCCCCGCCCGCCCTCCTTCTCTCCCCCCCCCCGCCTCCTTCTCTCCCCCCCGCCCTCCTTCTCTCCCCCCCCCCCCCTCCTTCTCTCCCCCCCCCGCCCGCCTCCTTCTCCCCCCCCCGCCCGCCCTCCTTCTCCCCCCCCCGCCCGCCCTCCTCTCCCCCCCCCCCCCCTCCTTCTCCCCCCCCCCGCCCTCCCCCCCCCCGCCCGCCCTCCCCCCCCCCGCCCGCCCTCCCCCCCCCGCCCTCCCCCCCCGCCCGCCCTCCTTCTCCCCCCCCCCTCCTTCCCCCCCCTCCTTCTCCCCCCCCCCCCGCCCGCCCGCCTTCTCCGTCTCCCCCCGCCTTCTCCCTCCGCCCCCCCCACCTTCTCCCTCCGCCCCCCCGCCTTCTCCTCCGCCCCCCCGCCTTCTCCCTCCGCCCCCCCCCCGCCTTCTCCCTCCGCCCCCCCCCCGCCTTCTCCCTCCGCCCCCCCCGCCTTCTCCCTCCGCCCCCCCCCCCCGCCTTCTCCCTCCGCCCCCCCCGCCTTCTCCCTCCGCCCCCCCCCCGCCTTCTCCCTCCGCCCCCCCCCCCCGCCTTCTCCCTCCGCCCCCCCCCCGCCTTCTCCCTCTGCCCTCCCGGAGTCCCTTTGCCCTCCCCCACCCGCCCTCCCTTTGCCCTCCCCAACCCGCCCTCCCTTTGCCCTCCCCAACCCGCCCTCCCTTTGCCCACCCTCCACCCTCCCTCATCAGGTAGTCCATCCAAGCTTGTGATTGGCTTTTAAAGGCACAGGATAGGTCTTCAGAACAGGCTCTGAGCAAGTGAATTGGGGTTACGGGTGCAGAATGAGCCTCGGCTGTTCTTTCTTGTTTCAGCTACCTTTGTGAACAGTGTTAAGAGATGCGTGTCTGGAATTGTGAGCTTCATAAAAACAGCCTCAGCCTTCGGTTTCAGATCCACGTCTTTGCAAATGGAACCTGGTTTTGTGCAGCCTTGCTCAGCTGAGCCTTTGCAACAGGTCAGTCTGATTGCAGCAATGAGCCACCGAGTGTTCTACCACCTTCATTGCAGCAAACACTCGCAATCTAATTTGAAGTACAGTGGAAGCCGCTTTAGCTGGATGCCGGTTAACCCTGGACACCGAATGAATCGGGCAAAACACTCAGCCCTGATTCAGTTGTATCCTTATCTGTTTTAAATAGCATGGTTACTTCAGACATAAATCTGGTTAATCGGGACAAAATGATGTGTTTGTTGTCACTGTATCATCTCACTCTGTGTCGAGCGGCAGCGGGATGGAGAGGAGATGGGAGGAGTCTAATTTTGATTGATTCACCTCGGAGTTGCTGCTAATTGGTTCTCTTCCCGTCATTGGGAACGGCAATAGGATGGAGGAAGCGCCGTCACTGCTCCTCTGTGGGTTGGAAAAGGTTAGGGAGCTTTGGTTAAACTCGACGCTGCTTAAGCCAGACAAAGAATAACACAACTTGCATTTATATTGCGCCCTTCACGCCAGATGGCGTGTCGGAGCGCTTAACAGTGGCAGAGCCCGATGCCAAGCCAGGGAAAGGGGAAAAGTGACCATAGGCATGATTGAAGAGGAAAGTCTTCAAGTGCGACCTGAAAATGGGGAGAGAGGGACAAGGCGAAGGGATTGAGGGAGAGAGTTCCACAGCTTTGGGGTATAATGGCTGAAAGCACGACCACCAGTGGTGGGGCGGAGGGTCCAGGGGACGAGGGGGCCGGAGCTAGTCGAGCATATTTAGTGGTGTAGTGAGAGAGCAGGTTAGAGAGATGGGGGGGTGCAAGGGCGTGAAGGGATTTAAATACTTGAAATCTGACAAAACTCTGACAAAACGGCCAGGCCTGATGTGTCTGGTTTAAGCGGCTTCCACTCTATTTACTCTGACCACTGATACACGCTGCACTGACAACACTGCAAATGAAAATCTAGCCCGACTCCCAAAACAATCCTGCACTGACCGAAACCTGACATTGATGGGTTATCTGTATTTTCTAGATCCATTCCTCTTCTCTGAATGATCTCCACTGTCGTAGTTCTTTACCACAGGCTGATGTAACAACAGGTATTGCTTCTCCCACCCTCATATCTACCCTACCCTACCAAACAGCATTAAGAATTCTTGAGGCACAGGGCAGCCGGCTGGCCCGCATCTCGCACTCACTGTTGTTTCCTAGAGAAATGCCGCCTGCTCCCTTCCCACTAGGCACCAGAACCCAGCACACCTGTGCCGATCACATCCCCCAGGAATAGGGCGGTTGTGGGGTACACTGGTGGGGGCCGCATGTTTGACTGGGGTCCCTAGACAATAATCTGCCCTCTCCGCCCATCCCTGCAGCTCTTCCACCTCAGAGAATAAGCAGATACAGTAAAATTTCACTCTCTGGGCAATATTAGTTGGTGGGTCCATGCTAACCTCTGTCTGTAAAACAGCTATATGAATGTAAATTAGGATTGTATTGTAGGACCTAAACACAGTACCTGTTTTCAGCTTTGCTGCTTGATATCTGCAAATTGAGAGGATGGAGCAGCTGGTCCTCGCTTATCTCAATGCCAGGGGCATTAACCGTGTTTAGAGTCATGTAACTCAGTGGTTAGAACACTTGCCTTGTAAGTGAGATACCTGGGTTCCAGGCAGGGCGAAACCTTGGGCAAGTTTCCTTACTCCACACACCCGATAATAATCCCTCCAAAACAAAACCATAATAAATTCGTCATTTTCATTCTACGACTGTTAGTGGGACATTGCTGTGCGCAATTGGCTGCCGCGTTTTGCCCACAAATATACGGTCAATTCACTTTACAGTCTATTCTGTGAAGCGCTTGTGAGATGTCTAGAAGACATGAAAAGCGCTACATCAAATGCAAGGATTATTATATATTATTAAAAGCATGGATAAAAGGTGTTATGTAAATGCAAATGATTGTTTGTTGTTAACCCCTTGCTTCCCGGGAGGAGGGGCTGACTAACAACACCCATAGTGTTGCTGGCTGAGAAGTGCTGTTTATGTCTGTAGACGCTGACAAGGAATGGCAGAGGAGAAAGAAATGGTTTGATCAGAAATGGCGTGAATTAGACACTAAGACAGAGCTGAGGTACGCATTTACATTCTGCACCTCATATTTCAAAATTATCCCCATTCCAGTGGACTGGCATTTTACACTAATTGTTTCTAACAGGATTGACTATGAGGGCCCAAGAGAGAGCAGCAAACATAGGGCTCTTTGTCCAGAGCATCACAGCCTCCCCTCAACCCCATTGCTTGGCAGAAAGAATGACAGAAGCCGCTGCTGTCCTGTGGAAGAGGTGAGCAGCCTATGTGTAAATAAAGGTAAATGTTGTAGGTTCAAGCCACATGTCAGGAACTCACAGTCCAGGCTGTCGCTCCAGTGCGGGACTGGGGAAGCACTGCATTGTCATTGCCTTTTGTGTGCGACCCTAAATTGAAGTTGATTTGTGCCTATTTAGAATGTTAAAGATCCCACAACACTTGAAAAAGAGAAGAGAGTTTCTCCCAGTGTCCTGGCTGACAGTCCTTCAGATAAATTGGTCATTCACCATTGGGTTATGGGAGGTTGCTGCGTTCGCCCACAAATACAGTTTCAACACTTTACAGATTCAATGAGAGTATCGGTCTCACACATTTACACCCAAACTGAGAGAGGGGTTTCCTCACAGGCAAACGGGTCTTCTTATCCACCACATCCTTACCAACTGCTGGCTCCTGCCGCTGTGGATGGTGAGGCGCTCTGATTGAGAAAACGAGGGAGAGAGTGATTGAGAGAAGGGGTGGAGAGAAAGATTGAGATTGTGTGTGTGTGAGTAAGGGGGGTGGGGAGAGGGAGAGCGAGTGTTTGAGAGGGTGAGAGAGAGTGATTGACGGAGGGTGATTGAGATAGAGATAGTGTGAAGGAGGGTAAGTGAAAGAAAGAGGGAGAGAGAGAGTGTGTGTGAGAGAATAATTGACAGAATGTGTGAGGGGGAACAGTTTCAGAGTGGAGGGAGAGAGAGTTTGTATGGGAGAGGGGGAAGTGAGAGAGGTTAATTGAGAGAGAAAGATGGTGTGCGAGAGAGAGGGGGAGCAGAAGGGGAGAGGGAGAGTAAGAGGAGAGAGAGTGTGTGGGAGAGAGAGGGAAGTGAGAAAGATTTGTTGAGAGTCAGAAAGACTGTGTGAGAGAGGGGGTGGAGAGAGTGATTGAGCGAGGGAGAGGGGAGAGAGTTTGTGTAGGAGGGGGGGAAGTGAGAGATTAATTGAGAGAGAGAGAAAGACAGTGTGATAGGGGGAGTGGGTGGAGTGAATGATTGAGAGAGTGGGAGGGAAATAGTGAGAGGGGAGAAAGAGGTAATAATAATAATAATCCTTGCATTTGATATAGTGCCTTATCACGTCTTTGGGACGTCTCAAAGCGCTTCACAGGATATAATGTTGTGACTATATTTTGTGGGTGAAAAAAAGGTAGAGTGGGAGAGAGGGATGGAGATGGAGCATGGGGGAGGGGAGAGAGAAACAAAAAGAGAGAGAGAAAGGAAGTGAGGGCAGCGTTTCGTAGTTTACTGTCAGGACAGATGATTGTAGCTTCCCTTGGTCATTGCAGGGAGTCCAGAGACAGACACTAAGCACCATGCTGGGCAGTTTCGTCACAGAAATCTCCCGCTTTTCAACATTCCCTACCCCCCACCACTCATTCTACCACTTTGACCTCCCGACCTGCCCATTCGCTTTGCCACTAAACACTGGTTTGCTTCATGTCCCCCACATTCCATATGCCCCACCATCGCCATTTTGCCCCCAGCTCTCTGGAGTTTCATTCCTGGAGTCCCTCCAACTTGTTCCGTCCCTCCCCTTTCAAGGCACATCAAGATCTAACTCTCTGATCGCGCTTTCAGTCATCGTTTCCCTCCCCATCCCACTCCCTCGGCTCCAACCCCCAACTCGGGGGCCCAGCCAAGTGTTGAGTGCTTTGAGACGTCCTTCCAACGTGAAAAGGGTGCTGTGTAAATATTTTTATTGTTTCTGGAAGGGAAACATAAAAATATTGCTTATGCGGCCCATGAACTTTTCTCAAATAGGGAATTCGGCCCTCAACAGGCAAAAGGTTGGACCACCTTGACATAACTTGTCAAAACATCCTGACTTGAAACACAGGGAAAAGACTGTTGTATGTTTTACAAAAATATTTTATTAGCAGACATTCATTTAAACAGTTTAACAGAATAAAAAGTTAGAAAACTTCTACCATCCATAAAATACATACGTAAACAGAATACTAATTTTAACAGAATGTAAAAAGATTAAAATATTAAGATAATTACAACTATATGGTTTCTGTTTAACAAACTAAACAAAAGTATATATACAGTAGAACCTCACTAACCCAGTCACTCAAGTGACTCGGCAAAAGTGGCCCACTTAGTGAGGTGACCTAATTACTGAAACAAATAGGGTGATTCAGGTCACTGATGTAATGTTAAGGACAAAGGGTGATGAATATTAAACAACCATACTTTGCAATCTCATTAAAATAAAGACATTGTCACATTTAAAACAGATCTTAGGTTTTATTATTTAAAGTTCACATGAGAAGTTAAAATCAAGCAAAATGTTCATTTCTTGAAGAGAGTCCAGCATTGCTTTACTGGCTGCTGATTTAACCTGCAGCTGACCCTCAGCATGAGTCACAGTCTGCCACACGTTGAGTCCATGATCAAGGCAAAAATCCTTCACTTGTCCCAACAAATCCAGTGCATCAGCAGAAGTGATCTTTGATGTTGTCAGTTGCTCGTCCTGTTCCTTCTCCTTTGTGTTCTGTTCCTTAGTGCCACTAGTCCCTGGTAGTCCTTCACTAGTCCTTCACTAGACTAGACTCTAGTTCTCAGCACTTTGGGACGTCCTCCCGACGTCAAAGGCACTCTATAAATGTAATTTTGCTGTTGTTGTCCTTCCATCCCAAATTCAAGTCCTCAGTGGAGAGCACATCACTGTCGATGGCTGCATACTCCTCGGCACTGAGGATAGGGTAGTCCAGTGACAGGCACCGACTGGCCTGACCAACAACTGGGCAAGTGGCACATCATCATCAGAGTCCTCCTCCACAGGCTTATCCACATTAAAGCCAGCCTTGGCAAAGCACTTCTGCACTGTTGATCTATGCACCATGTTGACTGCTGAATTAATCCACGTGACTGCATGAAGAACATTGATGGATTTGGCGAATTGTAAAGCCTGCACACCTGTGGCCATCTCCCCAAGAACCCTGCATAGGCAACTGCTCCTGTAGTGCATCTTGAATTCTGGATGATGCCTTGGTCAAGGGGCTGGAGAATGAATGTGGTGTTAGCTGGGAAAAACACATTGGTTAGAGTAGAAATGCTGTGAGGGTGAGCTGGGGCGTTGTCCAGAAACACATGCCTGCTCTGCCCGCATCTTTCTGTTAAAGGTCTGAAGCCACTCTAAAAATGGCACTGGTCATCCATGCCTTTTTATTGTTGGATCATGTGACAGAAGCTGAGTCTTGATGTTAAAATTCCTAAAGCCATTGGGTTTGGCAGCCTTCAATAATATAGCTGTCCTTCCAAAATCACCCTCCATGTTGACTGTCAAAGGCATGGTGATGCGGTCTTTAGGTTTCTTCTCACCAGTGCAGCCATCACCACAAATTTAAAGGCTCCTGACAGGGAGAGCCCTGAAAACAACACCAGATTCATCCATGTTAAATATGTCCTTGGATGCATAGCCGGCTGTAATCTCAGGGAGTTTCTCCTTCCAGTTGTTAACAATAGCAACGCCACCCGTTTCCCCAGACACAATGCTGTGTCTGGCCTTGAAGTGGCCAAGCCAGCCATTTGATGCCTTGAAGCCAGTCTTGCCAAGTGGTGTGCAAAGCTGAGTGTTTGCTTCTGTATCATAGGGCCAGACACAGACATGTTGAAATCATGGACAAGCTGGAACCACTCCCATGTCAGTTTATCAATATCCTCATACTGAGAGTTCAAATACTCACGTTTTCTATTAGGTTGTTGATTTTCTTCAAAAGCTGTCATGTTATTCAGCCTTCCTTTTGAGAATACATCCAACTTATATTCTGTCAATGTACAGATCACAACTAACTGTCTATGACTTTAGCCCTTACTGTTTTTGATTAAGTCTACTCTTTCACTTAATGACAACTTCCATGGTGGCATGTTTACAGCACTTACTAAGAATTGGCCACAGGAGCTTAGGTTAGGCCGCAGGTGCTGGGCAAAGTTGATTTCCCGCTCGCGCCACTTCCGTGATCCCAACACTCCCTGTGCATGCGCGATTGGAGCCCACTCCGCCTACAGTAGCAGCATCGAGGAAACAGAGCGAGAAGCCCGAAGCCTAGCTCGCTGTGTAACGGAGGTTAGTAACGGAGGTGGGTGTTTGTACCGCGTATGTACCGGAGGTGGACGCTGTAGTGAGCGCAATTAATGGCTGTTGTCCTGAATAGTGAGGTGCTCGGTTTACTGAAGCAAACAGCCTATCTTTTAACATTGACAATCAAAGAGACTGAAAATGTGCCTGCACTTGTGAGGTGGCTGTATTACTGAAGTGACCGCAAACCTGGTTTCCACTGTATATCCCACACGCATTATTCTTATGTAAAGAACAATTCACCCAAAATGCTTCACTAAAGTCTGGTCAGCCGAGTCTTCTTTACACAAGCGGAAACCCACCATCTTACTTAGAAAGAGTATCCAAACCAAACAGAGTTCCATGCATCCCACCTACACATGGACATTCCTTTGTATTCGAATTGAATTCTTTGCACTGGAGGATCTATCCTATCTCACACATTTACACACATTTAAAGGTACACCCAGCCCAGGTATTGTAAGGTATTTGTAGTTTAGTCCTTGAGTAACTTCAAATTCCAAGTGTTTTTCTCTTTCTCACGAGTAGCAGAGCTGTCCTAACACTGAAAGGGAACAATACAGAGTCCTGCTGCAACTGGTTACTGCAAAACTGAACAGAAAGACAGGAGAGCTACCGCTCGCTCCCATGTCCAACGGGAAGCTACACATGTCAGTAATACAGTACCTATTTTCTCTTTATTATTACCATGTTCCTGCTTCAGTGACTTGTCCAGTGCTTGTCCCACAATGTATTTCTTCAGTTGTCAGTTTCCCATTCTCCTATTTTATGGATGAGATAGAGGAAGACAGATTGGGAGATGAGCAGAATTAACAGGGCAATAATAATTGTAAACTTCAGTTCTCTTGATGCAGGTGGGGACAAAGGTGATGTGAGTGATCAAAGAAGAGGTTTCTACAATGTGTCCAGAGTTTTTTGATTTATTGGGTTTCCAGTCCAGAGAAGAAAGATCTTGATCTTGTTTTAGGAAATGAAGTGGGCAGGTGAGTAATGTGAGTATTGAGGAGCATCTAGAAAACTGAGCACAACAAAAATTGAAAATTGAAAAGGAGGAGGAAGAGTCAAAGAAAAGGGAAAATGTCAGAGATGAGAAAGGAGAGGCACAGATAGACTGGGTAGAAAGGCTGACAGATACAACGGGAGATGAACAGTGGAGGTTTTCAACCAGGTTACAGATTATGCATATTCCCAGTAATGTGACGTGCGAATGTTGGAATTGAGTCCACCCTTTGTGAGCCAGGTGGGTCTGCAGTACTCCAGGGCACTGCTGATGATAGCCCAGCCTGGCTCATCATCAGGACTTGGAGGGACACATCAATCAGTTGGAGCAGGGACTCTTCCCCTCAGCTCCTGCTAAACCAAAGCCCTAATGAGTTGGGTGGTCCTAGCTGAACGACAGCAGGAAATCTTACCAGAGTGTGCTGTCAATAGTAAGCTGTGTAGTTTTACCTGGTTAGACAGAGCAGTACCCCATTGCGCATTCTGGGGGTAAACTTTGGTTCTTGACAGCTTGCGCCTAATACTAAGCGGAATTATTGGTGTGTCCTGTCGGGAAGAGAGTGTATGGCAGACACGGAGATTTCTATGTGTAGGTGGCTACATATGTGGAACTCTGGTTTGGATACTGAGGCCCAGTGAGTCAGACACCCAGGGATCAAAAAAAAATGTGTGGGGAACAGGTCTTTGACTGTACTGACGCATGGGTTCAGTGATGTGGAGACAAGTAGAGAACTGTCTTAGGGTAATAAATAGAAAGGCGGTTCTTAAAAGGTTGGCAGCCCTCAAAGTAGAAAAAATTATCTTGAGTTGCATCCTAGATTGTTGAGGGAAGTAAAGATGGAAATAGCAGAGGTTCTGGCCACAATCTTTCAATCCTCCTTGGATATGGGAGTGGTGCCTGAGAACTGCAAGAGTCGCATCTTTGTTGCAGAAATGCCTGTCTACTCCATTCATCATTGTGTCCCTGATGACAATTGCATTGACACTCTTCCCTGTGTCCCCCTTTGCATCCATTTGCTTTTGACTCCCCTCCCCAGAGGTGTCATCACCCTGACAGGTATTGAGTACAGCGAACCAGTTTGTGAGCGCCACACTCTCGGGAGTTCTGCACTACCCGTCCACTCTTCCTACCATGCCGGGTGGTCACCCACTCACTCTCCTTCAGAACCCTCTGTGGCTGTGGGGAGACCATCTCGTGAAAATTCGATCCATGAACTGTTCAGCCTCCCGTATGCTATGTAGTGGTTCCATCCTCTCCTTGAGCTCAGAAACGCTAAGCCGGAGGCACTTCCTACATACTTGTTTGTTCAGGGCCACAAAACATCCTGAAGTTCCTACATGGCATACATTGTGCGTGCAACCGGTCTCAGCTACCCTGCCCAGATATGTTTTATATTATTTTGATATAATTCATAATTATGTACCTGTTTTCCCCTCTGAACCGAATTCCCACTCTCACCAAATTCCTTAACAGAAACCAAATTCCTTAACAGAATTCTCACTCTGTTCAACCTCATTCAGTTCCCTCCTCATGCTGCTGGCCTCTCTGCTGAAAATTAATTCCATTAATTTCTGGAATGTATTCAGTAGAGTTTTCGGAACAATACGTTTTAGAACCGACAAGGGAACATCCCCAATTTGTTGGGCCAATAGAAAAGTGCGGCCTTAATTTTTCTGTGGAATCCGCTACAAACCACATCCTTCTATAAACAACCCCTCCTCTCTTTCTGTATGTGGGTGTCTGGGTCTCTCTCTGTCAGCGTCTCTGTGTCTGTGAGTTGTGTGTATGTCTCAGTATGTGTTCTCTGTGTCTTTGGGTTTGTGTGTGTGTCTCTCTCTGTCTGTGAGTGCATGTTTGCGTGTGTTTGTGTCTGTGTGCAGTGGCGGGCCCCGAGAGGTGGTGATCTCCTGGAGTCCACAGTCAGGACACTGGCCTTCAAATACAGTGCGGGTTTGAAATGGACCATTCGGCCCTTTGGGACTGCCCTAGTGTTTTCCCCTTCTCCCACCCCCCCCCTCGAGTCAGCCACCCAGATTTTATTAAAGAAAGGATAAATAATTTTTATTTGCAACAATGTGTTATTTCTTCATGTTTAGTCTTTATCAATAAAGTGAAAAGGTGTACATTGGCAGTAAAATATAAGATAAAATATAAGAGAAATTGTACAATTTTAAAGGGGTTTCAGGAACAGAGGGGTTCACATACACAACAAATATTTGATGGTGGCAGGAAAAGTTGACGAAGCTGTTAAAAGCTGGATGCTTGGCTTTATAAAAAGAGACATAGAGTATAAAAGCAAGGAAGCTATGTTGAAGCTTTACAAATTGCTGGTTAGGTCTCAGGTGGAGTATTGTGTCAAATTCAGGGCACCACACTTTAAGAAGGATAATTTACCAGAATGATGCCAGGACTGAGGGACTTAAGTTATGTGGAGATACAAGAGAGGCTGGTATTATTCTTCTTAGAACAGAGAAGATTGAGGGGAGATTTAATAGAGATGTTCAAAATTATGAGGGGTTTTGACAGAATAGATAGGAAAAACTTTCCTCTGGCAAGTGGGTCGGTAAGCAGAGGACACAGATTTAAGATAATTGGCAAAAGAACAAGAGGTGAGATTTGTTTACCTAGAGAGTTGTAAACCACCCTCCTACCCTTACCTTCCATGTCCTCCACCCCTCCTGATTCCAATCTCCTGCTCAGGTCTAAATCCCTGACTGTCCAGTTCCTTGGGACATCCTCCCAGCGTGAAAGATGCTATACAAATGTAATTTATTGTTGTTGTTATGGTCTGGAATGCACTGCCTGAAAGATTGGTGGAAGTAGATTCAACAATAGCTTTTAACAGGGAATTGGATAGGTACTCAAAAAGGAAAAATTTGTAGGACCATGGTGTAAGAGCAGGGGCGTTGTATTAGTTGATAGCTCTTTCAAACAACCGGCACAGGCACGATGGGCCAAATGGCCTCCTTCTGTGTGTGGAGAATGGGTCACATGGTGTGGAGGTGTGTGGAGAAAGTGTCACATAGTGTGGGGGTGGGTAGAATCTATGTCCGGGAGTGTGGAGACATTGTGGAGTCTGTATCCGCTGATGGGAAAGATTGTCTGGAATTGTTTCCTTCCATCTCTGAGACTGGGATGGTCCGTGTTTCAGCTCCTGGAACCTGCCAGTGCCTTGGGATGTCCTCCCGACGTGAAAGGTGCTAAAAAATTTAATTTTGTTGTTGTTACTTTGAGCCCAGCCAGATGTTCCTCACACCCCCACATGGGGGGAGGTGCAGCGACCAGTGGTGTCGTGTGACGTGGCTATCCCATCAACATCACACCATCACATGCCTTCCTACCCTTCAGACCACCCCAGTCTCCGACCTCACCATCATCGATAAAGCGATCTCAGACCATCACTTCATCTCCCTGAACTCCTCAATCCCTCTCCCCACCGCCACTCAACCCACCCTCATCTCCTACCTCCCCTGGAAAAAAATCTCCCCCCGCCTCAGTTGCCTTGGAATCACCTGAACTCCTTCCCCTCTGGGCTTCTACCCACAGTAACATATCCTCCTCGGTCACTCTTCTCCACAGCTCCCTCTCCTCCACTCTCGATTCCCTTGCTCCTCTCTCCGAACCGTCTCTTATTCATGTAAGTCACCATGGTACACCAGCCACCTCCGCTCCCTTAAAGCACAAGTGCGTGCCGCTGAACGCACCTGGCTTAAATCAAACTTAATGGTCCATCGGCAGATCTGGCTTGACCATATCAAATCCTACTGCTCTGCCATCGCCTTCGCTAAATCGTCGTTCTACTCCAAGACAATCTTGGAGGCTAAGGACAACCTCAGACTCCTCCATCACGAACTAGTTCTCCTCCCACCCTCTCATGCCTCGCCCATCCTCACCTCAAATGCCAACAGCGAGGCGATGCTGGACTTCCTTGAATCCAAAGTCGAGGGAATCCACTCAGCTGCTTCTGCCATTCCATCTGCTATCCCCTCCCCATCTCCCCCTCCCACCCCAGCTCCATAAACCTTTCACTGTCCTCTGGTACTGTTCCCACCCCATTAAGGACTGTTGTCATCATTCCTATCCTNAAAAAAAAAACCCTCCGAGTCTAGCTCTACTTCCAAACTACCGCCCCATCTCCAAGCTCCCTTTCCTCTCCAAGGTCCTGGAACGAGTTTTGCTTCTCAGCTTCGTTCCTTCCTCTCCCGCCACTCCTTTCACAAACCCCTCCAATCAGATTTCAGTGCCACCCACAGCACAGAAACAGCCCTGGTCAAAGTGACAAACAACATTCTGTTCATCTGTGACCAGGGGTCCCAATGCCTCCTCATTCTCTTTGACCTCTCTGCTGCCTTCGACACCATCGACCACTCTATCCTCATCCACCACCTCGCCTCTCACCTCAACCTGTACAGCTCTGTCCTTGACTGGTTCAGATCGTACCTCTCACACCGCCTCCACTTCATCTCCACAAACGGCTTCTCCTCTAGCCCCCACACCGTCTCTTGCGGCGTTCCTCAGGGCTCTGGCCTTGGTCCCCGCCGCTTCAATATCTATATGCTCGCTCTTGGTGACATCATCTATAGACATGCGGTCAACTTCCACGTGTATGCGGATGACACCCAACTGCCTCCACCCTTGACTCCAGGACCACTGCTGTACTGACAGAATGTCTGTCGGTCATCAAGTCCTGGATGAGAGCTAATTTTCTTCAGTTGAATGTCAACAAGACTGAGGCTCTCCTGATTGGCTCCCATCAGCACCTCCACACCTCAGGCGCTGACAGCATCACCATCCATGGTTGCACACTCCACCTTGCTAAGCCAGTCGGGAACCTTGGGGTCTTGTTTGACCGTCAACTACCCTTTATACCCCACATCTTTGCTATGACCCGTTCTGCCTTACCCCAGCTTCGCAACGTCACCCAGCCCTGCCACTGTCTCACACAGCAGGCAGTCAAAACCATCATACATGCTTTCATTACATCGAGACTTGACAATGCAAACTCATTGCTTGTCGGCCTCACCAACTCCTCCCTCCATAGGCTGCAGATCATCCAGACCCAATCCAGACCAGTTTGTAACAGAGGATTGCTCATTCTCACCACTGTGAAGAAATATTTCTAATCTTTTGTTTAATTCCTTTTGTGATTATTGTAAATTTGTCCCTCTTGTGACTCACTAACCATGATACAGTGGGTGAGTGTAGTTTATTGTGTGTTACAGTGGGTGAGTGGTCTGACTGACAAATTTGAATCTGTGAATTTACAGGACAAACCAACCCGGTGTTAGGTCAAAAATGCACCAGAAGGTGATGGAAAAATTATCTGAAGGAATAAAGAGACAAACAGTGGTAAGATCTGTCACTGAGGGCAGACAACTCAGTGTAACTAAGGTGTCATTGTATTTGTGGCTGCGTACATGTGTACATGCCTTCTGTACATGTGTACGTATGTGTAGCAGTACATTAGAATACATTAGGATATACAGCACCAAAACAGGCCATTTGGCCCAACTGGACTATGCATGTGTTTATGCTCCACATGAGTCTCCTGCCCTTCGTCAACTAAGCCTTCAAACATAACCTTCTATTCCTTTCTCCCTCATGTACCTATCTAGCTTCCCCTTAAATACATCTATGCTATTTGCCTCAACCACTCCTTGTATGTTCCACATTCCCACTATTCTCTGTGTAAAGAAATTTCTTCTAACTTCCCTATTTGATCTATTTGTGACTATTTTATATTGATGGCCCCTGGTTTTGGTCTCCCTCACAAGTGGAAACATCTTCCCCACATCTACCCTATCAAACCTTTCATAATTTTAAAGACCTCCATCAGGTGACCCCTTACCCTTTTTTCAAGAGAAGAGTACAAGCATGTTCAACCTTTCCTGAAAGGTATAACCTCTCAGTTCTGGGATCATCCTTGTGAATCTCCTTTGCACCCTCTCCAGTGCCTCTACACCCCTTCTATAATGTGGGGACCAGAACTTCACACAGTATTCTAATTGTGGTTTAACCAAGGTTTTATAGAAGTTTACCATAACTTCCCTGCTTTTCATTTATATCCCTCTAGAAATGAATCCCTATGTCTGGTTTGCCTTTTTTTATGGACTTATTAACTTGCGTTGCTACTTTTAGTGAATTGTGTATGTGTACCCCTAGGTCCCTTTGCTCCTCTACCCCATTTAGGTTTTTGATTTTCCAGGATTTATGTGATTTCCTTATTTCTTCTAACAAAATGTACCACCTCACACTTTTCTACATTGAAATGCATTTGCCATTTAAATGCCCATTCAGCAAGTTTATTAATGTCTTGCTGTAATTTGTTGCAATCCTCCTCTGTATTAACTATTTTAATATTTTAACCTTCAATTTGATGTCTCCAAATTTTTAAATTGTATTGCTGATTCCCGAGTCCAAATCATTAATGTATATTGTGAACAACAGTGGTCCAATACCGGTCCTTGTGGAACATCACTGCCCACCCCCTGCCAGTCTGAGTAGCTACCCTTTACCCCTGCTCTCTATTTTCTGCTTGTAACCAGCTTGCTATCTAATTCCTTTTAAAAAAAATCACTTCAATCCACGACTGTTCGTGGGACACTGCTGTGCGCAATTGGCTGCCGCATTTTGCCCACAAAATATACAGTCAATTCACTTTACAGTGTATTCTGTGAAGACGTCTCGAAGACGTGATAAGGTGCTGTATCAAATGCAAGGATTAGTATTCTGCTATTTTTCCCCTGACTCCACATGCTCTGACCTTATTCATTAGTCTATTATGTGGCACCTTATCGAACGCCTTTTGGAAATCTAAATATATTTACTTAGACAGCTCGTTGGGCAACAACATCACCAATTTGCACTTCTACTGCACCATTCAATTAGGAGAATATCTCAAAGCACGGTACAAATAGAGGGTGAGAATCTGAACAGAGTGAGAGGCATTTGTGTGTGTGTGTGTGTATGGAGGGAGGGTGGTAGACTGGAGGTAACCAAAGAAAGGCACAGTCATAGAGATAGGTTGGATGATATTTGCAATGTGAATGGGAGGGATGGGTAGAGGGAGAAAGTTCCATAGAGAGGGGGGACAAAGTACCTGAAACATGGTGGGATTGAAGAATTGAATCAGGCTGAGTTAGCAGAGCATAGAGAGTACATATGGGAGAATATGATTGCAGGAGATTGCAGAGATAGGGTGTGTGTATATTTTGTTTATTACTTTCATTCTGACACTTGATGCTGTGAAGTATTAGGACTGTGAAGGCCATTTGCAAGTGAGAAACCTGGGTTCGAATCCTGGCAGGACGAAACCTTGGGCAAGTATCCTTACTCCACATGCCTGATAATAATCCCTTAAGAGAAAAAACAATGATAATTTGGTCACTTCAATCCATGACTGTTTGTGGGACACTGCTGTGCGCAATTGGCTGCCACGTTTCGCCCACAAATATACAGTCAATTCACGTAACAGTCTATTCTGTGAAGCGCTTTGAGACGTCGAGAAGACGTGAAAAGCGCTATATTAAATGCAAGGATTATTATTGTTATTATATTACATCTATCACATTATCCTTGTCTACTCTTTCTGTTAGCTCTTCAAAGAATTAAATGAAGTTGGTCAAGTATGACTTTCCTTTTTGAAATTCGTGCTGATTATTCTTTATTATGTTTTCCGTTTCTAGATGTTTTTCTATTACCTCTTTCAGTAAGGATTCCATTATCTTTCCTAGCACTGATGTTAAACTGACAGGTCTGTAGTTCCTGGGCTTGTTCTATCTCCCTTTTTAAATATAAGTATAAAAATAGCTATCCTCCAGTCCTCTGGCGCTACTCCCTTTTCTAATGATTTATATATGTGTAGTCGTGTCTCTGCTATCTCTTCCCTCGATTCTTTTAATATACACGGATGCAATCCATCTGGACCAGGGGGTTTATCCTCTCTGAGTTTTCGATTATGTCTCCCCTTTGTATCTTAAATGTATTTAGATTATGTTTGACCTCTTGTTCTCCTGTTATGTCCACCTGATCTGTCTCCCTGGTGAATACAACAACAACAACAAGATTCCATTTATTGAGCGCCTTTCACGTCGGGAGGACGTCCCAAGGCACTGTACAGTTAGGTCAGGACCCGAGCAAGGGGGAAATGGGCAGGGTGAGGGGATGGAAGAGAGGGAGTGAGGAGGGGGGAAATGGTCAGGGTGAGGCGATGGAAGGGAGGGAGTGAGGAGGGGGGAAATGGTCAGGGTGAGGGGAGGGAAGGGAGGGAGCGAGGAGGGGGTAGAGAGTCGAGAGGGGAGCTGAAGGCACGGTCAAAGAGAAAGGTCTTGAGACCGGCCTTGAAGGAGGAAAGGGAGGAGGCGGCGAAGGCACTGGGGGATAGAGTTCCAGAGCCTAGGGGCTGAGAGGCTGAAGGCCCGGCCACCGATGGTAGGGCGGTTGGGGCGGGGGATGTGGAGCAGACCGGAGCCGGAGGAACGGAGGGTACGGGCAGGTAGGTAGGTAGATTCCCTCAAAATCAGCTTTTTCCAATACTGAGGCAAAGTAATTATTTAATATTTCTGCCATTTCACTGTCGCAGCCTGTGAGCTTATCTTGTCCATCCCTTAGTGGCCCTATTCCTATTTCGATTTTTCTTCTGTTATTTATATGTCTAGAATATTTTACTATTTCTTTTTATATTTCTTGATAATTTAATAATTCCCTTTTGCCTTCCTAATTGCTTTTTTGGCTATTTTCCTGACCTCTTCATATTTTTTGCCATGCCTTGTAGCTTACGTACTTAGTGAACGCCTCTTTCCTGAGTCTCAACTTTGCCCTTATGTCTTTATTCATCCAAGGTGTCTCATTATTATTTAGCTATGCCTTGCTTTTTAGCGGAATATATTTCTCCTGGACTCTATTGATCACTGTTTTAAATGTTTCCTGCTGTTGCTCTATCTCTTTGTTTGCCAATATTGTTTTCCGGTTTATTTTCCCAAGTTCCATTCTCATTCCCTCAGAATCAGCTTTTTCCAATCTATTACCCTGGTCTTTGTCATACTCATGTCCTTCTCAATCATTATCTTAAACCGTATTAAGTTATGATCGCTATTGCCTAGATGTTCCTCTATTCGTACTTTTCTTACCCGCTCTGGTTCATTTCCCCTTACTAAATCCAGGAGGGATTTCCCCCTTGTTGGGCCGCTTACATACTGGGTAAGAAAGGAGTCCTATACACATTAAAGGACCTCCATTCCCTTATCCCCTTTACCTATCTCTTCTAGCCAGTTTATTTGAGGGTAATTGAAATCCCCCATGATTAGTGGAGTCCTGTAGCTCAGCGGTTAGAGCACTTGCTTTGCAAGTGAGAGACCTGAGTTCAATTCCAGGCAGAGCGAAACCTTGGGCAAGTTTCCTTACTCCACACAGAGCCTAATAATAATCCCTCCAAAACCAAAAACAATAATAAATTGGTTATTTTCAATCCATGACTGTTTGTGGGATATTGCTGTGCGCAATTGGCTGCCGCGTTCGCCCACAAACATACAGTCAATTCACTTTACAGTATATTCTGTGAAGCGCTTTGGGACGTCTGTAAGACGTGAAAAGCGCTATATCAAATGCAAGGATTATTATTATTACTCTATGTCTTTTACTCATTTCTCTCATTTGCTTGCATATTACTTCCTCTACCTCCCTTCCACTATCTGTAGAGTACCCCTATTTGTGTGATTGATCCCTTCTTATCTTTTATCTCTATCCACACAGATTCTGTTTCTATCTTACTGATGGCAATGTCCCTTTTTTCTACTGCCATGATGTTATCCCTAACGAGTACAGCCACTTCACCGCCCTTTCTCCCATCTCTGTCCTTTCTAAATATGTTATACCCTGCAATGTTTAATTGCCAGTCCTGTTCTTTTGTAGCCATGTTTCAGTAATTCCAATTATATATGGTTCCTCGCTATGAATGATTGCTTCCAGTTCTCCTGTATTATTTCGGATGCTGTGTACATTGCTGCACAGACAGTTTAATTCATTATTATTAATTGTTCCTCATTTCATTTTTGACAGTCTTTTCACACTTCTGTTCTATAATTGTATTGACCATTTTTGACCCTGACCATTTTTATTCTCCTTATTTCTTACTTTTGTCTGGCTTGAGTAATTTACTTCTGATCCCTCCCCCCCCTTTTACTAGTTTAAAGCCTTTGCCACAGCTCTATTGATCCTTTCCACTAGGACTATGATCCCCTTCCAGTTCAGGTGGAGCCTGTCCCATTTGTACAGCTCCTTCCTGTCCCAGTATTGGTGCCAGTGTCCCATGAAGTGGAACCTTTCCTCCTACACCAATCCTTTAACCACGTGTTAAATTTCCTAATCTGTTATTCCCTATTCCAATTTGCACGTGGCTCAGGTAATAATCCAGAAATGATTACCCTTGAGGTCCTGTCTTTTAACTTAGCTCATAACTCCTGAAACCCTCTCTGCAGGACCTCCTCCCTGTTTTTTTCCTATGTCATTTGTCCAACATGGACCAAGACAACTGGATCTGACCCCTTTCCAAATTCCTCTTCAGCTGCTTTGAGATGTCCTTTACCCTAGCACCAGGTTCGGGACTCTCGTTCTTGGCTACAGAGGATGCTGTCTATTCCTCTAAGAATTGAATCCCCTATCACAACTACATTTCTATTCTGCTTTTCCCCGCTTTGGACAACCTTCTGCTCCACTGTGCCTTGATCTGCATTGTGGCTTCCTCCCCGCAGTGTTCACAGGAATCGAGTACCTCATACCTGTTGGGCAGGACCAGTGTCTGCAGGATCTCATTCTCTTCCTCTCCTAGGTTCCCACTACTCTGCTTACTGAGAGTAGCACCCTCCCCTTCCTGTAACTGCTTTTCTATGAGGTGTGACCGAGTGCAGGATAAAGCTATCCAGAAATTCCTCCCCCTTCCTTAATTCGCGGAGTGCGTCCAACTCATATTCCAGCTTAATGATTCTGACCTGGAGTGTGTCAAGCCAGAGACATTTCCAGCAGAAGTGATAGTCCAGGACAGACTCACAATCCACAAACTCCCACATATTGCATTCCTGGCACACATATGTAATTCATTTTGCACCTTCTTCCCCCTCTGCATCTAATTCCCACTCTCATCCAATTCCTTCTCACTCTGGTCTTGTCTCACTCCAGTCACAGCTCACTCCAATTGGCTCTCTGCTCTCTGTACATGTACTTGTATGTACGTGTATGCATGCGCGCCCGTGTATGTGCGAGTGCACGTATGTGTTAGCCCATACGTGAGCGCATGTGTAACTTCGTGTGTGAGTGTGCATGCAAGGCTGCTCTATGTATGTGGCTGCTCCCCATTGGTGGCAGAGGGGTTGCAGCCATTGTAAAGCTGTGTTTGCTTTACCAGGAACAGCAGCCAGCCTGTAAGCTGTCAGAGGAAGTTTCATCCCGGCTGTGCCTGGATAAGGGACATTCAGCAGCTGCTTTTCCTGTGCCAGCTTCACACCATTCTCAGGAAATGGTCCACTCACCTGGAAAAAGCACACATCTTTCTCTCTTTACTGAGGTACGGAACACAGATCTCTGTGTCAGTCTGTGAGAGTAACCAACACACAACAGCACCGAGTGTTTTCTTTCTTGGTGGGTGGAGAGTTAGGAGGCTGTAATGCAATTGAAGGTCTTCGATACAGGATGAAGCTGGCCTCTACACTGTCTGTCCACACTCCCAGATCAGCGACAGCGCAGGTTGGAGACTGAGTAAAGCTCCCTCTGGATTCTGTGGGAGATTCGTGGCTCACGGTTTGACACATGGAGCAGGGCTGCTGAAGATTGTCTTGCAGAGGAGCGAAGCCTTCCACACTGGTACACCTGCCATGTGGAGTCCTGTAGCTCAGTGGTTAGAGCACTCGCTTTGCAAGTGAGAGACCTGAGTTCAATTCCAGGCAGAGGGCGAAACCTTGGGCAAGTTTCCTTACTCCACACAGAGCCTAATAATAATCCCTCCAAAACCCAAAACAATAATAAATTGGTCATTTTCAATCTACGACTGTTTGTGGGACATTGCTGTGCGCAATTGGCTGCCGCATTCGCCCACAAATATACAGTCAATTCACTTTACAGTGTGTTCTGTGAAGCGCTTTGGGACGTCGTCCTGACGTGAAAAGCGCTATATCAAATGCAAGGATTATTACTATTATTATCTCTGCTCCCTCAAGGCACAGGTGTGTGCCGCTGAACGCACCTGGCTCAAATCTTACTTAACAGTCCATCGGCAGATCTGGCTGGACCTCATCAAAAGTTACTGCTCCACCCTCGCCTCCGTTAAATTGTCCTAATCCAGGACAATCTCGGTGGCTCCTGTTCTCCATCACCAACCAGCTCCTCCGCCCACCCTCGCTCATCCTTTCCTCCAACTGCGAGATGCTGGACTTCCTCAAAACCAAACTCAGCTGCCTCTGCCCTTCCAACTACTACCACCTCCCCATCTCCCCTCACACCCTGGCCCCTACCCATCCCTCCCTCCACACCTTCGAACCTATCTCCTCTCTCACCAGCATTATAACCCACATGTAACTGACCACCTACTCTTTGACCCCATCTCCACCCCTCCTTACCACCCAGTTCCACCTCCTTGACCCCTACTCACAGACATCATAAACCTCTCCCTGTCCACTGGCAAAGTCCCCACCCCTTTAAAAACAGTCGTTATCACTCCTATCCTTAAAAAACCCTCCTTGGACCCATCCCTACTCTTAAATTACTACCCCATTTCCAATCTCCCTTTCCTTTCCAAGGTCCTGGAACGAGTTGTTACTTCGCTCCTTTCTCTCCAACCACTCCCTTCACGAACCCCTCCAATCGGGTTTCCATGCCGCCCACAGCACAGAAACAGCCCTGATCAAAGTGACAAAGAACATTCTGTCCATCTGTGGCCAGGGCTCCCTCTGCCTTCTTGACCATTCTATCTTCTTCCACTGCCTCCTCTCACCTCAACCTTCATGGATTTCCGCGTCTGGATCCCTCTCCCCGACTGCCCCACCCTCCCCCGACTGCCCCACCCTCCCTCATCTGTCCCACCCTCCCCTGTCTGTCCCACTCTTCCACGGCTGTTTGCGATGTGCTCTGTGCAATGATTATTTTGCTGTCAGGTTCTCCCACAAAATAGTTACTGCACTCTACGGTATATCCTGGGAAGGCTTTGAGATGTCCTCCCGATGTGAAAGGCACCGTATCCAATGTAAGATTATTATCATAAAACAACTACATTTTGACCGTGCAATGGACACCTTCTCTTCCCCTCATGGTGGCTGTCACCATGAAGCTGTGAAACACTCTGAGGCACTCTCCTAAGTGAGTTTATAATATACACGGTTGTTGTTGAGTGCTCTTGCCCGCTCTCCCCGGGCCTGATTGAAGGATCTCAGTCCCATTTGTGTGCGAGGGGGTGAAACTGCAGCAAGTTGTGATTTGTTTTGACAGGCAATGGCTGCTGAGGTCAAGCAGGTGCTGGGCCGTGGGGACCCTGACCAGCTCCTCGCCAGTGGTTTTAAACTCAAGATAACCCGAAAGGATATCTGCACTCTCTGCAACAACTGCTGGCTCAATGATGAGGTGACTTTCTCAATGCATGCACAAACATAGACAGGAAGCAGTGAAAGAAACCCAGTGGTCCCATCGAGTTTGTTCTCAGGCGATTCTCCCCTCCCACCCATACTCCACACCACTCATTGCACACTATACATTGACACATCTATCCACAGCCCAGCTACTCGCTCTCCTTGTGGGAAACCGAAAAATCAGAGGAAACAAACCTCATCTCCTCAATGACCGATTTAGAGAAAAAGGAATTGATCTGGACTGGGTTGTTAGCACCTGGAATGGCCGGTGAGAAGTTGTGATCAAGGCTGTACTGTAACAGTTCTCTTAAAAAAATAAATCCTAACCCCTCTAAAAACAGCTGTCATCACCCCCATCCTCAAAAACCTTTCCTGGAAGTTAACAGGAGAGGCTGGAGAAGCTAGGATTATTCTCCTTGGAGCAGAGAAGGTTAAGAAGAGACTTAATTGAAGTTTTCAAAATTATGAGCGGCTTCAATAGGGTGAACAAGGAGAAACTATTTCCACTGGTGGGTGGGTCGTTAACCTGAGGACACCAATTTAAAATAGTTAAAAGAATCGGGAGGTGAGAAGAAATTTTTGTACACAGCGAGTAGTTCAGATTTGGAATGCATTACCTGAAAGGGTGGTGGAAGTCGATTTGATAACAACTTTTTGGAGAGAAGTAAATAATTATTTGGGGAGAACAAGTTTGTGAGGCTTTGGGGAGAGAGCAGGGGAGTGGGATTGATTTGGATAGTTTTTTAAAAAGATCCAGCACAGACAATGGGCTGAATGGCCTCCTTCTGTGCTGTATGATCCTATGATTCTGTTACACCACACCTCACATTACAGATTCCCTGCAGTTAGAATCATTCAGCAATTCCATATTACACAATCAATATTTACACTGCAAATTTGTACATGAAATGCATGATAGATTAGTGTGACCTGTCACATTTGTCATTCCTTATCGAGTGGTCAAGATGTTTTGTTTGTCAGATTCATGCTACAAGACAAAAGTTCTCAATACAATAATATGTCCTCAAAATACTTCAATATTTCTGCTTCTTATTTTGCCTTTAAACCAATCAATGAGCATGTTTCTCTTACGCAGTTTGCATTATTACAATTCCATTATTAAGTTTAATTTATCTGGTAAAGGTAATATTTACGTGTTTTCTTTCCTCTTGTGGTTTAAATCCATGAACCATCAACTTGTAGTTGTAAGGCACTTTCCATATCATGTTGTCACTTTCTCTTCTTGAACACACAGCCATCTGGGTTGACTTCCTTTCTAGGCTTTGCCATGCTCCTGTACATTGTACCAAGCCTCTCCACAGTCCTCCTCGGTTAACCCTTCCGTGGTTATTTTAACTTTTTTAACTTAACTTATAGATGCAGAGATTTCTTTACCAGCTGGAGTTTTTATTCTAATTGTATTAGGATTTTGAATTTTAATCACTGTGCAGGGTTTCCGGTACTGACTTCTCAATACACCTTTCCAATAATGGGTTTTCCAAACCACGTATTCCCCCTCATGATAGTTACAATTCGCTGAACTTTGATGTAAGATTCAATCATTTCTTCCAATGTCCTTTTAAATTATTTTAGCTGTTCAGTGTCCACATGTGAAGGCCTTTGAGTTTATCGGTGTAGTCATGTGCCTTCCATGGAATATGTAAAATGGAGTGATGTTAGGATCCATACACAAGAGTCGATTGTTAATACCCATTAATACTCAGGGCAACTGTTTGAAAAAGGAAAATAGCTGTATTTTCCCTTTTCAAACACTCTTTCTTGGAACAAGTAAGTCCATTTGTGTTTTCAACTTTCCCAAATTGTGCGTAATCCCCATGGTTTGGGTTATATTTTTAATTATCTCAGCTGTGAATGGTTTCCCTGGTCTGATTCAAGTACTTTTCTCTTTGACCGAGCCTTCAGCTCCCCTCTCGACTCTCTTCCCCCTCCTCGCTCCCTCCCTTCCCTCCCCTCACCCTGACCATTTCCCCCCTCCTCGCTCCCTCCCTTCCCTCCCCTCACCCTGACCATTTCCTCGCTCCCTCCCTTCCCTCCCCCTGACCATTTCCCCCCTGCTCGGGTCATGACAACTGTGCAGCGCCTTGGGACGTCCTCCTGACATGAAAGGCGCTTTATAAATGGAATCTTGTTGATGTTGTTGTACTTTCATTATCCCGTTTCTTGGAATAAGCTTGTCGTTGATTAACTTAGAGACACTTGTCTCTGTACACCTACCGTTTATAGAATCATAGAATTATACAGCACAGAAGGAGGCCCATTGTGTCTGTGCGGGCTCTTTGAAAAGAGGTATTCAAATCAATCCCACTCCCCCGGTCTCTCCCTATAGCCCTGCAAACTTGTCCTCCCCAAACAATTATCTACTTCTGTCTTAAAAGTTGTTATAGAATCGGCTTCCATCACCCTTTTAGGCAATGCATTACCTGTGTGAAAAAATTTCTCCTCACCTCCCCTCTGTTTCTTTTAGCAACTATTTTAAATCGGTGTCCTCGGGTTACCGACCCACTTGCCAGTGGAGATAGTTTACATGGATAAGCTAGTGTAAAACCAGTTGTGTGATCCACGAAAACGAGGAGATATCGATTATACCTGTCTGTTTTTGGCAGTGGTCTGACAAAGTCCACATAGTGGAGTCCTGTAGCTCAGTGGTTAGAGCACTCGCTTTGCAAGTGAGAGACCCGAGTTCAATTCCAGGCAGAGGGCGAAACCTTGGGCAAGTTTCCTTACTCCACACACCTAATAATAATCCCTCCAAAACCAAAAACAATAAGAAATTGGTCATTTTCAATCTACGACTGTTTGTGGGACATTGCTGTGCACAATTGGCTGCCGCGTTCGCCCACAAATATACAGTCAATTCACTTTACAGTTTGTTCTGTGAAGCGCTTTGGGATGTCCTCCCGACGTGAAAAACGCTATATCAAATGCAAGGATTATTATTATATTATTATTATTATAGACCCGCTCCCATGACTGTCTCATAATTACATGCTCTAATCCCTTACTCTCCGGCACATTGCTCACATTCACTTGTACACACCTCAACATATTTCTTCACCTCCCTGACTACAATACGAACCGTTGTCATTCTATAGGCAAAGCCATTAGGAAGATCTCTCCCCAAAACTCTTCTGAAAACAATTCCATTACTTTGGACGCTCGGACTCCTTTAGTTCTAACTATTGTCCTATTTATTTCATGTACGGCTTTCATTAAGTTATCCCACTCGGCATTTATTAAATCTCTCCATTGTGGATTGATTACTGACTGTAAATAAATTTGTGCGGCTGCCTTGCTAGGCAAGGGCACTCGTCCCACCATGGCTATGGTTGAACTTAACCACCCCTCTACTGAATTTGGAATTATTCCAGTTAGTGAGTTTAACCCTAAGGCACTCTCCGTATGAGTTTTTCATTCCCCGATACTGCATTTACTTCAGGCTGGGTTTGCCCATACACCCTGTTTTCCTCTTCTTAGTTTTTATTTCAGAACGTCTTGTACACTCTCTGTATGCGTTGTCCATGCTTCCTCCTCCTCCACCCATTTCATTTCTCTTAGTAATTTCTTTTGCAAACTAATCATCTGCTGCTGATAAATAGCTCTTTATTGCTATGCTGCAAGATAATTTCCTCAGCATTTATTAACTGCTTGTGTATTCTTTCACTTCTGCCTGTGACTCCTTCAGAGATTTATTTTTAACTGATCACTTAACTCTTTCTCACTCATTTTAGGTAAGCCCTCTCTTTGTAATTCTTGGTAGTATTTAAACTTGACATAATCCCAGCAACAACAACAACATTGCATTTGTATAGAGTCCTTCATGTCATGAGGACGTCCAAAGCGCTGGACAGTCAGGGATCCACACCCGAGTTGGTGGTTGGAATCAGGAGGGGTGGAGAGCAGAGAGAGGGTAGAGGTAGGCGGGTGACCGAAGGCTAGGTTGAAGATGAGGGTCTTGAAGGAGGCAAGGGTGGGGGCGAGGGGGAAGTCATTGTGAGATGGAGTTCCAGATGGTGGGGGCAGAGAGGCTGAAGGCCCACCCACTAATGGTGGGGCAGGCGAGGCGGGCTATGTGAGCAGGCTGGAGCTTGCTGAGCATAGGGAGTGGACAGGTTGGTAGGGGGTTAGGAGGTCACAGGTAGGGAGGAGCAATGCTGTGGAGGAATTTGAAGGTAAAGACCAGGATCTGGGACTCCAGCGTTCCATATTGGCTCGGTGAGGTGTAGAGTGATGATGTTGTCAGCGCCCGAGATATGTTAAACAACAACAACAACAAGATTCCATTTATTGAGCGCCTTTCACGTCGGGAGGACGTCCCAAGGCGCTGTACAGTTGGGTCAGGACCCGAGCAGGGGGGAAATGGTCAGGGTGAGGGGAGGGAAGGGAGGGAGCGAGGAGGAGGTAGAGAGTCGAGAGGGGAGCTGAAGGCACTAGAGAAACTGGAGAAAGTTAGCTCTCATCAAGGACTTGATGTCTGACAGGCAGTCTGTGAGGACAGCAGTGGTCCTAGAGTCAAGCAGAGGCAGAGAGCTACAGTTGGGTGTCATCCGAATACATGTGGAAGTTGACCCCATGTCTACGGATGATGTCACCAAGAGTGAGCATGTAGATGTTGAAAAGGAGGGGATCAAGAACGGAGCCCTGAGCAACTCAGGCTAAAACGGCCGCTCCTAATTTTGCCTCCTCCAGGAGTGTAGCCCCATTATTTAAATAGTGTTGGCTCTGCTTTTATATCTGGCTTCATATTTATTATTTTTTCTTCCTGTGTTCTTTTACTCTAGAGTTTTACTTAGGGAACTCCATCCCCCAGTGCCTTCGCCTTGCTTCCTCCCTTTTCTCCTTCAAGGCCGGTCTCAAGACCTTTCTCTTCAACCGTCCCTTCACCTCCCCTCTCGACTCTCTACCCCCTCCTCGCTCCCTCCCTTCCCTCCCCTCACCCTGACCATTTCCCCCCTCCTCGCTCCTTCCCTCCCCTCACCCTGACCATTTCCCCCCTGCTTGGGTCCCAACCCAACTGTCCAGCGCCTTGGGATGTCCTCCCGACGTGAAAGACGCTCTATAAATGCATTCTTGTTTTTGTTGTTATTTCGCATAACGGTTCAATACAGTGGAAGTTTTCTCCCAATTTGTGGCAGTCACATTCTCCCATTTATGGTTCATAACAAATCCTTCTGTTTCTGGCCCTTTGGGTTCTATTCTTTTGGGTTTTTCTATACCCTAAAAACTCGATCTTTTTCAGAGTCCCTGACTCGTGTGCCTCTGGCTTTCCCTGGCTTTGAATTTACGGTGCTTACATAGTCCTCCCTGGATCTAGTCTTATTTCCGTGTTCCCCATGGCTTCTTACCATTATGAGTCGATTATTTCTTTCTCCCTCTACTCTGATTAATTCCTCCTTTCTCTCCTTTGGTGCCATTTCTCTGGCTAACTCAGCCATTTTCTCTAATGCGGCTTTGTCAGTCTGTGATAGTGAGGCACTACCCTGTTCCTGGATTGCTTTGCCCCTCCTTTCAGGTTCACACATCTTCTGTCTGTTAACTTCTATGAGTTTCATAGACTTTAATTTTCTCAGTATTTTTCTCAATACTTCGCCGAATCAATGTATTCATAGTAATCGGTCTTCCCTTTGGATTGGTTATCTCCCCATATTCCTATCACACCTATTTTCTTTTGATTCTTCCCTGAGCCTCAAACTCTGGGTTCCTGGTACAAACACCGATACTATTTATTCTCTCTTCTTTTATTATAACATAGCTCGAGCAGACTTTATAGAAGTTCAGAAGTCATTTTTATTAAATTAAATCGTGATAACATTCAACAATAAAATTTCTATCGAAGAACTAAGATAACAACTATATTCAAGACTGGCAGCAATTCACCATATTAAAAGAAACCAACCTTGACTGGCAGTTATGCCGCCAGTTAGGCACACACCTTAATCTCAACATCAGCACATGACTCCATGCTGTCTGCTTAATGTATCGTTTGAATTCCCCAAATAATAATATTTTAAAAATATGGTCTCGGGACCAAAAACAAAAAGGCTGCTGTGGGCTGTTATGTGCCTGTCAGGTGCTGCTGATCCAGTACTGTTTCTTGCAGGTGATAAACTTCTACATGTGTCTGATTGTGGAGCGAGGCCGGGGACCTGGCCAACTACGCGCTCATGCCTTCAGCACCTTCTTCTACCTGAAGCTGCAGTCGGGGGGTCACCACGCCGTCCGACAGTGGACAAAAGCCACCAACCTCTTTCACCAGCACCTGATCCTGATGCCTGTGCATCTGGGCATGCACTGGTGCCTGGCGGTGAGCCAGCTCGGTGGAGGCTCTGTTTGCCTGTCTGGGGGTGGGGGGCAGTAAGTGTGTGGGGGGGGTGGGGGAGGATTGTTGGTGTGAGTGTGTGTATGATTCCATCCCAGACCCCTGTTACCTCACCCCCTCCCTTCTGAAACGAAAGGTGCGAGGGGATGTTGGTGTGTGTGGGCAGTGTGTGGGGGGATGTTGGTGTGTGCAGGGGGATGTTGGTGTGAGTGGGGAGTGTGCAGGGGGATGTTGGTGTGCATGGAGTGTGTGCGGGGGGATGTTGGTGTGTGCGGGGGGATGCTGGTGTGTGCGGGGGATGCTGGTGTGTGCGGGGGGATGCTGGTGTGTGCGGGGGGATGCTGGTGTGTGCGGGGGATGTTGGTGTGTGCGGGGGATGCTGGTGTGTGCGGGGGGATGCTGGTGTGTGCGGGGGGATGCTGGTGTGTGCGGGGGGATGCTGGTGTGTGCGGGGGGATGCTGGTGTGTGCGGGGGGATGCTGGTGTGTGCGGGGGGATGTTGGTTGTGTGCGGGGGGATGTTGGTTGTGTGCGGGGGGATGTTGGTTGTGTGCGGGGGGGATGTTGGTTGTGTGCGGTGGGGATGTTTGTTTGTGGGGAGTGTGCGGGGGGATGTTGGTGTGTGTGGGGAGTGTGCGGGGGGGATGTTGGTGTGTGTGGGGAGTGTGCGGGGGGATGTTGGTGTGTGTGGGGAGTGTGCGGGGGGATGTTGGTGTGTGGGGAGTGTGCGGGGGGATGTTGGTGTGTGTGGGGATGTTGGTGTGTGGGGAGTGTGTGGGGGGATGTTGTGTGGGGAGTGTGCGGGGGGGATGTTGGTGTGTGGGGAGTGTGCGGGGGGGATGTTGGTGTGTGTGGGCAGTGTGCGGGGGGGATGTTGGTGTGTGGGGAGTGTGCGGGGGGATGTCGGTGTGTGTGGGGAGTGTGCGGGGGGGATGTTGGTGTGTGGGTAGTGTGAGGGGGGATGTTGGTGTGTGGGGAGTGTGCGGGGGGATGTTGGTGTGTGTGGGGAGTCTGCCGGGGGGATGTTGGTGTGTGCGGAGTGTGCGGGGGGATGTTGGTGTGTGGGGAGTGTGTGGGGGGATGTTGGTGTGGTGGGGGGGGGGGGGGGGATGTTGGTGGGGAGTGTGTGGGGGGATGTTGTGTGGGGAGTGTGCGGGGGGATGTTGGTTGTGAGGGGTGATGTTGGTGTGAGTCGGGAGTGTGCGGGGGGATGTTGGTGTGTGTGGGGAGTGTGCGGGAGGGATGTTGGTGTGTGGGGAGTGTGCGGGGGGGATGTTGGTGTGTGGGGAGTGTGCGGGGGGATGTTGGTGTGGGGGGGGATGTTGGTGTGTGGGGAGTGTGCGGGGGGATGTTGGTGTGTGGGGAGTGTGCGGGGGGATGTTGGTGTGTGGGGAGTGTGCGGGGGGATGTTGGTGTGCGGGGGGATGTTGGTGTGTGTGGGGAGTGTGCGGGGGGGAGTTGGTGTGTGTGGGAGTGTGCGGGGGGATGTTGGTGTGTGGGAGTGTGCGGGGGGGTATGTTTGGTGTGTGGGGAGTGTGAGGGGGGATGTTTGTGTGTGTGGGGAGTGTGCGGGGGGGATGTTGGTGTGTGGGGAGTGTGCGGGGGGGATGTTGGTGTGTGTGGGGAGTGTGCGGGGGGGATGTTGGTGTGTGTGGGGAGTGTGCGGGGGGATGTTGGTGTGTGGGGAGTGTGCGGGGGGGATGTTGGTGTGTGGGGGGGTTGGGGGGGGATGTTTGGTGTGTGGGGAGTGTGCGGGGGGATGTTGGTGGTGTGTGGGCAGTGTGCGGGGGGATGTTGGTGTGTGGGGAGTGTGCGGGGGGATGTTGGTGTGTGTGGGGAGTGTGCGGGGGGATGTTTTGTGTGGTGTGGGGAGTGTGCGGGGGGATGTTGGTGTGTGGGGAGTGTGCGGGGGGATGTTGGTGTGTGTGGGGAGTGTGCGGGGGGATGTTGGTGTGTGTGGGGAGTGTGCGGGGGGGATGTTGGTGTGTGTGGGGAGTGTGCGGGGGGATGTTGGTGTGTGTGGGGAGTGTGCGGGGGGATGTTGGTGTGTGGGGGAGTGTGCGGGGGGGATGTTGGTGTGTGGGGAGTGTGCGGGGGGATGTTGGTGTGTGGGGAGTGTGCGGGGGGGATGTTGGTGTGTGTGGGGAGTGTGCGGGGGGATGTTGTGTGGTGGGGTGTGCGGGGGGATGTTGGTGTGTGGGGAGTGTGCGGGGGGGATGTTGGTGTGTGGGGAGTGTGCGGGGGGATGTTGGTGTGTGGGGAGTGTGCGGGGGGATGTTGGTGTGTGTGGGGAGTGTGCGGGGGGATGTTGGTGTGGGGGTGTGGGGGGGATGTTTGGGTGTGTGGGCAGTGTGCGGGGGATGTTGGTGTGTGTGGGGAGTGTCGGGGGGGAGTGGGGGGGAGTGTGCGGGGGGATGTTGGTGTGGGGGGTGTGGGGAGTGGGGTGTGGGGGGTGTTGGTGTGTGGGAGTGTGCGGGGGGATGTTGGTGTGTGGGGGGAGTGTGGGGGGGGATGTTGGTGGTGTGGGAGTGTGGGGGGGATGTTGGTGTGTGGGGAGTGTGCGGGGGATGTGGGTGTGTGGGAGTGTGGGGGGATGTTGGTGTGTGGGGAGTATGCGGGGGGGATGTTGGTGTGGGGGGGGGGGATGTTGGTGTGTGGGGGGGGTGTGTGGGGGGAGTGTGCGGGGGGGATGTTGGGTGTGTGGGGAGTGTGCGGGGGGGATGTTGGTGTGTGTGGGAG